AGTCAATGGTAAGACGCTTAAACAATCAGAAGCGAACTGATTGCAAAACAAATATTTGCCACTGGTTCCTTCTCCTGAAGATGATTCCAGACGGTATTGAAAGTTTAAGAGAAATGGATAACGTTCAGAACATTATACTGTATATAGAAAAAGAAAATTTGATTCATTTTTTTATTTAGGTTTTTCAACATTCTTATATTTTTCACTATCATTTTATATAGGTTCGATATGGAAAATATCTTGCTGTGAGAGATGCGCTTTGCATAAAACATCTGACAACCAGTATTAATCCCACCTTATTCATCAGCGGAAATAGTGTGTTGAAGGTTTGTTTCTTTAAAATAGAAAGACGCGAAATCGAATTCCAGCTACACCCAACCAACTTGCGAAGCTCGGGTTAAACACTATTATTATTATTATTATTATTATTATTATTATTATTATTATTCAAGCAGCATAAATATGTATCTTAAGCAGTTAACACTTACAAACAAATCCTTGAAAATGGCTCAAGTGACCGAAAGCGTTTGGGACAATGAACAATTTTTATATTCTCTGACACCCACCAAACGGAAAAAATGTAAGAATGTTGAAAACATTTTCCTTGTCTGCCATATACTGCCTAAATATCTTCATTCAAACATGTTACACTGAATAACATAGACATATCGTGTTTACTTATTTATAACAGAGCGCATTTGCCGTGTTTTTTAAAAATCACCTCCACAACGAAATGCAAATTTTATCGCAGTTACAATAGGTTTGGATTTGTAATTTAACCCTGAAGATGATCTTGGAAAAATTCGAAAGTAGTTGGGTTAGAAAAAACTACGGCGCCTTCCTTGATGAATTTCATCTTAACATCAAGAAACCGATTAGACAACTGGAAAGGATCAGTAGAAAAACAAGTAGACACAATATGTCTATATTATTCAATGAAACATGTTTGAATATAAATATATACGTGTGTGTGTGTGTGTGAACAGAGTTGATATATAAGTCATCTCGACATGGTGACAGGCAGTTTCATACCTTAAGCTTTAATGAGATAGATCTGTTAAACAAGATTAAGTCGATTAAATTCAAGTAAAAAGAAAAGTAACAGAGAGAGAAATGAGTGTGTATGTGTGTGTGTGAGAGAGAGAGAGATAGAGAGAGAGAGAGAGACGAGTGGAGAGAGAAAAAAAAGAGTTATAGAGAAATGCTAGAAAACATGCAAACTGAAGAAAGAGGCATAGTAAATATTGAAATCACACTGGATACCAGTGTGATTTCAGTACTTACTTTAGAAAGCTTCTACAATCGATCCACTTTTCAGAAAGACCGAATGAAAAAAAAAAGGTGTATTTAATCTCATCTTGGTTGAACCTAGAATTTTTCACCACGTCAAAAAGAGAAGATAAAAAGTGCTTCGTTTAAGTGAAATGTTCTGAAATTATGAAGGAAAAAATCGTATTCAGAGGTTTTTAAGGTTTTTTTGGGTTTTTTTTTTTTACATTGCATTTAAAGTTTTGAAGATTAAACTTGATTGGAAAAAGGTTGCATCTAGCAATTTCCTCAGTAAAATGATGAAATCTAGCTGCCAATCAAGTACAACGCGTAAATTCGAGGTACCAAAGAGGAAAGCCATATTTATTATAATGATATTACAAGAAATCTGGTACAGGATCAAAAGGGGGATGGAGAAAGACTGGTCTTCACAACTATCTAATAATTACATTTAGCTAGCCACAATCACTGACCTAAACATACCACAGTATTCCTTATACCAGAAAATACATTCTTACTTACCATTCTTACTACAGCCACCATAATACTCCAGATTATCAATGAAGTAATAACTAGTCCTAATACGTAAAAATTGTCTGTAGTGGGTGTGGAATAAAAATAGCAACTCATTAAAAAAAACTCATCAGAACAATTACCATGAAAGTACTTATAGAAAAAGCACAAAAAGTTACGTTCCGGCCATGGTAAAATGACTGAAGCCGAGATGCCAGGTCAGAACCAAAATCATTGCAGATACTACTTTAGATTTTATCAAGAATCTCTAAATATATAGCAGAAGCACCAGACGAGATGTGACAGCAATATTCAATGAAAAATTCAGTCAATGAATGTCGATTATTTCCTGTAGGGAAAAGGCTATTATCGCCATTATTTTTTACTATTCTGGGTTGTTATCGACTGGAACCTGTCAAGATGGTTATTATAACTTCCTAATGTAAGGTTATTGTTATGACACACAGTCGTACTCGGTATAACGTAATTACGTATTTTCTATACGTAATGCTGAAGTTGTTGCCGTAACGCCTGTATAGTTAGTATGAAGACTGACTCCAATACGACTGGTATCTACTAAGTTGCCCCACTGAGATGTCTTGTGACACAAGGTCGGGAATATTGTGGGGAGCGCCATTAGTCAACATTTATCCAGCATCCGCGGGCTCAGGTAAATTAATTGTCACTTTTTCTCATCGGAAAACAGAGTCACCCTCTGCCCAAAGACAGAACTGCCTGATAACGATACGATTATTATTTACCAGTCTCCCCACTTATTGTGGGAAATCCGAGCGTTTCCACCTGGGTCACTGGTCAAAATTTACAAAGCTCCGAAAAAACGGGCTAGGGTACAGTATTTGTATGTTTTTCTCAGTTGAGTCTCTATCTAAAGACAGAGCCCCCAACAGAGTAACCCTCTGCCCGAAGACAGAGGTTTTGTCTTATCGCGAGCCTGGGACTGATATTTACCGGTCGCCCCACTGTGGACTAGATGCGACACAAGGTTAAGTTTAATGTGGGGAACCCGAGCTTTTCCACTCGGGCCACTAATCAAAATTTGCCCAGCCCCCGCCAAAGCAGATTCTGGTACAGAACTGGTCTGTTTTTTTCTCAACCATGTCTCTATGCCAAGACAGAGCTTGACCCAGTCATCCTCCACCCGTAAACAGAGGTCTTGTCTCCTGTTGTATTGTCTTGTCACGAGCCTGGGACAGACTGCAATTGGACTCCCAGCAACCTCATCGAACCCTTTATTGTATTGGACGAGTTCATAAAGTCACCGGGGGTGTACTCTTTACTCCACAACAGTAGTCAATGGTAAATACGAATTAATTAGTCTACCGCATATGTTTTATAACAATATATTTTTATAACTTTTCCGTTTTGTTACTGTTTGTGTGTGGTGTAATGGTTAACGACACTGAATAGGAAATTGAAGAGCCGAGTTCGAATAACAGTAGCGCCGTTACCTTCACTAATAATACCCTGGGCAAAATTATAAAGTCATCTTCTCAAACCCCAAGCTATGGGTTAAATACTGCGACTTATATCTAGAAAAACTACTGCTATTTAAAAAAAAAATGAATGCAATAATCACTGAACGAAAAAAGAATTATATTTGCAATCGAAAATGTGTTTTGGCTTTAATATATATAAACAAGCTGTATAAAGTCACGAAATTTTTTTTTTCTAAAATAACAAAAACCACCTCAACCTTCCAGTAAGGCAAAAAAAAGACTAACTGGTTCCATTCAATGCCTCGAATGAATTAGTTACATTCCATCACCGCCGGTCAGACCCTGAGCTACTGCCAGACACAATGAATGGATGTTCCTTCGAGGAGGCACCGTGCTTTAAGAGAATATTGGGCCTCAAACTCACAACCAACCTCAAGTGGAACTCTTATATATGTTTCATCGCTAAAGATGCAGACAAAAATGATCAACTCCCTAAGTAAATACCTGACTCCTCATCCTATCCTCTACCTTTATAAGATCCAGATCAGGCTGAAAATGAAGCACTGTTGCCATATTTGGCGGAAGATGCTCAGCACTTTCCAGTTTTGAGAGAGTTCAAAAGCCTCCTCCGAATCTTTGTTGGAGATTATTTTCCACCCTCTAACCTCTCCCTCACAGACGGGATATCGTGAGCCTCTCACTGTTCTGTCGCTACGACCATGGAAAATGCTCGGACGAACTACATTCCTTGATTCCGCCAGGTGTAACTTTCACGGCTAGGACCCACCATGACACTGACATAGTAGCAAACCACACACATTCCCTTCGCATTCCATTGGCGAGTTGTAAGTTCCACTCGTACAGCTTCTTCTCTCAAACACACTTTGAAGAGGATGTTTCCTCGATCACTATTATTTTCATCTCCTATCAATATAAACTACTTAATGTAACCCTCTACATCGAGTGACCTCCAGGCTTTGTACAAAGTGAAACATACTGTCAAAAAATATCGCTTGAAGATTTTCAAGTCACAACTAATATGGGTAGCAAATATGACTATTAGGAAAAACAATGATATAATCAATATGTTAACTTTCAACACTACCTTAAACAAAAGATTAGGAAGGTTCTAGTACTATGAGCAGTAGAAAGAGCGATAACAGTTAGTGGACTTGAGAAATCTATTTTCCGGAAAAAATCTCTTAAAGGGAAGATTTTAGAAATTTCAACCAAAAGAGCATGCGAAATTCTCAAACCCTTACCATAAATTTTGGCATGGTTTTAAATATTTACTATACAGATTAATAGTGGACAATTTTTCTACATAAAAGTGGGCGATGACGCAAAAAACGTTCTGAACCCTGATATATATTATTAATATTCTTCGCATATCTAACATGTTTTTTTTTACTTATTAAATATTATGTTGAGGAGGTTGTAAAGAATAGTTTTCAGAGAGACTGGACAGAATTTGATCCAGTTAACGTTTGTTTAACTGATTGATTGTCATTTCTAATTACTTGAACATTAATTCTTGCTTGCCACTATGTGTCACTTGCGACGACTTCGACGCACCGATTCGACAAAGGAGGTAGTCGATGACTTGATAGTTTGATAGTTTGACGCGAGATGAAATACTTCTTTCATTTTCGTTGTTTCAATCACACTTTTAAGAAAGTAGATATCAATCAATTGAGCTTACACTAAACACTAAACAATCAGGAACGATAAATGTCGAGAAAATTGATTCTTTGAAGCAAA